CAAGTTATTATATTCCAGAAAATTTTAATACAGTTCAATGTCTAAAACAAAATATAAAGAGTCTACAAAACAAAGAAACTAGAAAATGTCATTAACTCTGGGGAAAAGGAGCAAATGCCAACTGTGATATTCTCTAGACATTAGTATTATTAAAGATATTAAACCACCTACCATAGTGTTCCATGAGATTTAAAATTACTGGAAGGAGAGATATTCTCTGTAGAGACACATAAGTTATTAAAATATAAGTAGAAAAAGTTTATTACTGAAAAATAATACATTGTAAATAAAAACCTTAATCTTATATATTGCAAGAAAGAGGGAAAACAAAAACAAGAAATTAAGTTGAAAAGAAGAAAACAACTTGCAAATTGATAAGTCATAAAGGCTCAACAATTTCTAGGAAAAAAATAAGGAAAATTATATGAGTAGATATAAAACCAAAAGACATAAAATTCTTCCATTTCAGATCAGCAAATACAGGAGAGATATTCGTACTAAACCATGGTGTATACTACAGCAACAAAATATATTCTCTGAAACCTAGTTGAATACCCTATAAATATATACTATAGCTTTCAGTCAGTAATTTTATGGAACTCCTGAATATATAAATCAGTGGGTCTCCGATTCTTTTTTTTTTTTTTTTTTTTTTTTTTTTTTTGATGTGCAAGCCTAATCCCTGAACTTTTATTTTTTTAATTTTTTTAAATTTATTTTATATAACAAAGTCCATTTAAATGTAAACAAACATTTATAGACAATACTTGGGAATTTGGGCGTCATTCTTTCCAAACTACTTCTGCTGGTAAGGGGCGCTGTCATGGGGTCTCTGATTCTTGTGCCTTCCCTTGGGGCTCTCTTATTTTTCTGTTGGCTTGTCTCTCAACTTCAATAAAATGTTTTTCATTTTATGTCACTATGTCTTTTTTTTTATCTCTTAGAAGCCTGTTCTTTTCTAATAAAAGACAGAAATGGATTGGCCTCTAAATGGAGAAGAGGTGGGGAGGAGCTGGTGGAGTAAAGAGAGGATTATCTGTATTTAGATTTTATTGTATGAAAAAAGACTGTGTGATTAATAAAAATGGAAATTTGTGCAGGATTATCATATTTTAAACAAAATATTGGCAAAATAACAACCAAAATAGTGATTAATAAACAGAGGAAAGGCTATGTTAATTTATTGAAAAGTCAATATAGACAAGATATCAGTTTTTAGATAATATATAATTAATATAATTGTTAATGTTAGCATCAAACTTATTCTGTTAATTATACAAAAAATAATATTTCACAAAATGAAAAGTATTTTACAAAGCAAAGTTTTTTTAAGACTCACATTACCAGATTTTAATACTACTGTGTTACCCCATTAATTGGGATCACATACCATTGATGAAAGTAGAGGAAGAACAGAATGGAGAATTCAGGAACATACCTACAAATACATACTTATTTGAATTTCAACAAACTGCAAAAAATGTAACTGTAGAATTGTCTTATCATCATTTACTCTGGAAAAATTAAACACCCATACAAACAAATAATCAAAAAGTCAATTATCATAGAGCCATATCTAACAGCTTATATAAAAGTACATATACATGGATCAAGTACAGATGTATATATCAAGTAGAACATAAAATTCTAACATATAATTATTCCAAATATTAACAGAATCATCTCTCTGTGACCTTGGTTTGTTATATAATCATACATGTAATCCATAATTTTCTCTTACTATTGTAATGGGAATTAATTTAAAATTAAGATATTTGGTCAAGCTTATGAAATATAGCAAAATATTCAGCAAAATAAAAAGTACAGGGGACTAAAGAGAGAAACCAATAAAACATAATAGAATAATGATGGAGGCTTCTGCCACAAAAATAAAGCAATAGTTGGCAAGTCAGTGAAGTTAAAATGAGATCATTAGGCAATAATAAATGTGCCAATAGTATTTACTTAATTTTAAACAAAAGAACTAGAATTGTATAATATGTTTTGTACATTGTTTAGGGATTTGTGGTCCTCTATATTTTAAATTATATCATAATTAGAACTACAAATCTAATATTGATTCAAAGTTAAAAATTAAAACATAATATTTTTCAACAAAAAATTAAAAAGTAGCTCATAGTGAATAAAATAAACAAGTTGCATATCCAGCATTTACAGACAAAAACATTTATAATATTTTTAACTCAATAAAAATCAAGTAATTCCTCAGTTTCAAGAAAATTGGTAAACTGCTTCAGACACGTATATTATCAAGTAAGATATCTGAATATAAACCAATACTGTAGAAGGTAACCATTCTTGCAAAAGAAGTACAAATAAAACCATAGACACTACTGTGCACATGTTATGAAGGGACAAACAACACATTGAGGACCTAATGTTTGCAAAAGATATTTGTGTTACGTACTACCAGGTCTTAAATGGTTTCATTTCCCCTGGATCACTTCTTTTTTATCTCTTTCAATATTTTCTTCATTCAGTCATTTATAGCCCAGAGGGACCAATTAGACTAAAGTTAGCAATCTTACCCAAAATAAGAGGAAGCTTTGATATGGGTAATACCTAAATTCTTCTTCTGTGTGCCAGCTTGGAAAATGGACTCCAATGTCTATCTGAAGACATCATGACAGCTGCTTTCTTTGTCTGTGTTTTCTGCTCAATGATTTGCATGTGATAACAGAGCAATTCTTTTACTTAAATATTTTGGGAATTCTGTAGCTATTTAGCATGCACATCACAAACTTAAAATGTGATTTAACAAACAGATCAATCATTCAATTATGTGTCCTTCTATTACAGCCCTGAAATACAATAATGCACTTCACAGGTAATGTTATAAATCAGTATTGAGGATATCAATGACCCCATATAGAATTGTTCTAATAAAAATAATAATACATGGATTGAGAATTTGGAAGGTATTATAATTTTTTATGTTTTTTTTTCTTATTTTACATATCAATCCCAGTTCCCACTCCTTCTCTCTCTCTCTCCCTCTCTCCCATTCCACCCACAGGGAGGGTGGTGCCTTCCAGGAGGGGTCAACAAAATCTGTCAAGTCATTTGGAGTAGGGATTAGGCCCTCCCTCCTGCTTCTAGGTTAAGGGAGTATCGCTCCATAGGGAATGTGCTCCCAATGTCCTTTTGTGCACCAGGGATACACCCTGGTTCTACTGTCTGATGTCCCTTAGATGCCCAGGCCTTTTAACTGAGACCCATGTTCAGGGGGTCTGAGTCGGTCCAATGCTTGTTTCCCAGCTATCAGTCTGGGGGCACATTAGTTCCTCCTTATACAAGTCAGCTGTATCTGTGAGTTTCTATAGCCTGGTCTTGTCCTCCCTTTCTGCATCTGGATTCCAGTTCAGCTCAGTTTAGTTGTGGGTGTCTGCTTCTGTTTCCATCAACTAGATGAGGGTTATATGACATGATGGTGAATAAGTTAATCATCAATAATTTTTTTTAAGAATCCATAGGTGTATTTGAAAGCACCAAGGTGTAATGAATTGATTATCCAGCTGGATACCTCTTATCTTTCTGCTATGGTAGTTCATGTTAGCTATTTTTCTGCTGTGAACAGCAAAGATGTGGATGTTGACTTGGAATCTTGAAGTGATTGTGGGCTTTTAGATGAAATAAGCAGCTACCACTCTTCCCAGAATCAGAGCTGAGAGGTAGCCCACCCCAACACCCACCTTATCTGTGAGTTACTGAAGCATGTGAAGGGGTAGAACCTAAAGGTTCAAAACTGCAGAATCACCATGACACAGAATAACAACAAGATATCCAATAATAGCACCAGTGAGAGCCCCTTTTCCATGGAAAACAAGGTGAGAGACCTTGAACCAGACCAGTGACTCGTGTCAATGAACACATGCAAGTGAAGGTGAAAGGGCTAAAGGTGAACTGTATGACCTGGCCCCCTGGGCCACACTACAGCTTCCATGACAAGCTTCTCCCTATTGCCCCCTTTTGTTTTTGGTTTGTTTTTGTTTTGCTTTTTAAAATTTTTCCCTTTGTTTGGGGGAGTTGCAAAGGCAGAGAGCAGATGTGGAGGCAAGTAGAAAAGTGGGATTAGGATGCATGTTGTGAAATCTGCAAAGAAATAATAAAAATTTTAAAAAGCAATTCCAGTTTAGTCTTGACAGGGTTCAGCTTCTTAGCACAATAATGAGTTCAGTGGTCACAGCAGGTTCCAAGTATAGATCTGTAGAAGTCTGTGGGGGTATACACAGAGGTTTCAGTGTTCTTCAGATCTCTAAGCAAGGATCATGGCACTTGGAAGAACAGGATCTGTCCGGATATCATGTGTTCCAGGCTGTGGCCAGTGGCAAGGGAGTGCTACCTTTAAAACAAGATGTACAACTCATAGGGACAATACCTGATTTTACACTTTACCTTCCAAAGAATATGTGCACTTTTACCCACATACATGTAGACATTCTCAATAACACACAAACACACATGTACACCAAAAAATAGAATAATGAAATGAATAAAGCAATATTATCACACTTGTGCTATGATTTATTTCAGAAACAAACCTCAATGCTATTTTTAAACTCCCTGGTAGCATAAGATGGCCAGCAATTGTCTTACAGATATTGGAAGAGTTTATGAAATTTATATATTATGTATTTTAACCAAATCAGAAAATGCTGAATGAAACACGGAGTGGTTAATAAGCAACAACTATGTTGGTTACATAGTGGCTCATTTCTGCCTAAATAAATATCAAGAAGATTATCAAGGTCTGGTAGTAGCAATTACATCCTAGATACTAAGAATATATCAGTGACCCCAAAGGAGAAGATAGGAGGTAGAATATTGAAGGAATCTTAAGAAGACTATGGAAAGAAAATAAAGCCATAGAATCTCATTAAAGAAAATTACATAGACTGATTGAAATAAACAGTATTCAATTCATACTATGCAGTAGTCACAGATTAAGATCTAATAAAGTATTTTACACATTAGGTTTTTCACAAGAATGGTCTTCTTTCTATCATTTTCTTCAGTGCAATACTGACATCCTTATTCCTCAGACTGTATATCAGGGGGTTGAGCATGGGCACAATGATGGTGTAAAACACAGAAGACACTTTCCCTTCATCCATGGAGCTGGAAGATGATGGGTTTAGATACATAAATGCAGCAGAACCAAAGAAGACAGCAACAGCTGAGATGTGGGAGCTGCAGGTGCTGAAGGCTTTAGATCTGCCCTCAGTAGTTTTAATGTGTAGGATGCTGATAATGATAAAAGCATAAGAACTGAGGATGGTCAGGGTTGGGGCAATAATATTAATTCCACTAAGTATTAGAATCATCAATTCATTCACATAAACACTAGAGCAGGAAAGCTTAAGGACAGAAATAAGATCACAGAAATAATGGTTGATCAAATCAAATCTGCAGAAATGAATCCTAAACATACATCCTACATGAGCTGATGCACACACTACACCTATAATATAAACTCCTAAAATTAGAGAAAGGCAGGCCTGTTGAGACATGATGGTACTGTAAAGCAAGGGGCTACAGATGGCAGCATAGAGATCATAGGCCATTGCAGCCAACATGTAACATTCTGAAATAGCAAAAAGGAGAAAGAAGTAAAGTTGAATCATGCATTCAGGGTAAGAGATGACATTATTCTCTGTCACAAAGTTCACCAGCATTTTGGGGGTAATGACAGTAGATTGGCAGAGGTCAATGAAGGACAGACTGCTGAGGAAGAAGTACATGGGGGTGTGCAGGTTGGTACTGAGTAGGATCAGGATGATCATTCCCAGGTTCCCCAGCACTGTGAGCAGGTAGATCAAGGAAGAGGAGAAACAGGGGCAGCTGCAGCTCTGGTTGGTCTGTTAACCCAGTGAGAAAGAAGTTGGCCACTGTGGAGTGATTACCTTTTTCCATGCCCTCTGTTCAGATTCTGAAAGGGAAAAATTGGGTCTTTTGAAATGCATGACTGCTTTTCTTTTGGAAGGAGGTACCACCTTAAATTCTTTATGATCACTTCCCTCTGTACCATCTTCACTATGTGAAAGTTGTCTAATTTTAATATCTGTTATACTTGAGTTTCAAAATTAGTAATATTTTATAGAAAACATTTTATTTGTGTTTGCAGCATTGGAAATTTTTATACTGTTAATTTTCTATTTTAAACATGTAAAACCTTTAAATCTAATGTTTATAAACCACATCATTTACTTAAAGACATAGTTACACAACAAAAGAAGCTGATTTAGAATCCTAACTCTAAAATATTTTTGAGAGAATAATTCCATGTAACTCATAAATATAAGAAATTTTCAATAAAACCTTTAGTTAACTACATTCAACCAAATTGTTAAGCAAATAATGATTATTGACAAAATTTCAATAATAGCAATATTAGTATCCCAAATTTTTTTCTTTTCCTTTTAACTTCTGTGAATTACAAGGTGTCAAAAGCAGAGCAACAGAAAAGAAAATGAATAGTTACAGATTTCTTTCCTTGTTCTGTTATAAAATGAATACATATACTGACTATTTTAAACGAGATCAGGCTCACTCAAGGTGGTATGGCCAAAGATAAATATATTGACTATATCGTAAAGTAAAAATTAATAATTCATTATAAGTAAAGTAACTTTATTTGCAGATATATAATCATATACATAATTAACCCAATAAATTTCCTCCATTAGTCTCCTACAGAAAACAAACACCTGGAGCCTTGTTTCTATATACAAAATTCACTTACATAAATCAGTATCCCTTCTTTATATAAATAACAAATTGACTGGGGAAGAATACAGAGGAGCAGATTCTTTCACAATAGCCTCAAATAATATAAAATATCTTTGGATAACTCTAACCAAGGATGTAAAACATTTGTATGCTACAAACTTCAAGAATTTAAAGACAGAAATTAAAAAAAAAGTTCTCCCATGCACATGTGTAGGCAGGGTTAACATAGTAAAAATGGCCATGCTACCAAAGGCAATCTACACAGTCAGTACAATGGCTATCAAGATTCCAACAGAATTCTACACAGATTTTGAAAGGACAATTCATATGAAAACTAAAGATATACCTTCAAGTCAATGAAGCAATGAAATTCATAAAACCAGAGAAAGCAAAGGGAAATGCAGATTTTTTAGGAAAATGCCAACCTTAGAATATAGAAAATGATACTATATTATTTTAGATTAGCCTAAATCCTTATTACACAGTGATGCCTTTAAGTGACTTCTCCGCTCAGGTGCTATTGAACTGGAATATAGTCAAGAGGTCACAATGGTGACTGATAGTTGAACCAATGAGCCTTTTAGTAGTCACCATTTACCATAGCTGTGACCCTTGTCAAAAGGCCTTTCACATGTTCTCATTTCTTCTGTTTTCCATGAAGTTAGCATTCACTGATATAAAGTTATTATGCTACATTTCAGGCTATGGCTTTTGCTGTAGATGTTCTTGCTAAGGAAAGGACATTGACACGGTGATGCATGAAGCTGTAGGATGCTTGGAAAACAAGGTTATATAATTAGTATGCATCTTATGTGTTGTTAGCCAAGTTATGAGGTGTGAGATCACAGAATATATACCCCTTAATAATTATAAGGGACATTTATGTTAGTTTGGTATTTTAAAAGGGGAGCAAGTTGCTTATACCTTCTCAAAGACATTCTGAGTTCTAATTCTCTTGAAAATACACTTTCAAAGATCTAGAAGAAAGATTTCCTTAATTTCTTTTGTAACCACAAATATTCAGTCATATTGATCTTGCTAAATTCTTCATGCATACAACCCTTTCTATCTGTGATGGATTCAGAAGACTACTTACATTTCCTAGACTATGTGACAGTTATTTCATTGTCTGTCTACATATAGATTATTGTTCATTCTACTTGCAAGATTGTTACCAAGCACTTTTGCTGTTATCTGGTAAATATGTGTTTCCATTTATATCTACTCTAAAACTATGGTTGTCATGGGGTGATCCTCTGTAATCACATACTGGATTCATCCTTTTTATAACATGCTCAGGATGTTGTAATTTCTGAAGTACACACTTGATTCTTGGACTATAAATTACACTATTAGACAAATGACAAGTTGGACTTCTTTGCCTATTTCCTCAGTAAAATGCAAGTCTGCCACATTGAGGGTTTTTAATGATACTTTTAGGGATAAGTGAATAATTAGAGTCTGCTTGACTTAAAACAGTGATTGCTCCTGACTTCAGAGTCTGAAATGTCATGTGTGATTACATGGGACAAACACACTCACTGAACTTCTGTTGCAATTCTCAATATCAAGTTTTATTTGCCACTTGCAAATGGCACTAATCCTAGAATTGCCCCCAACATTCTGCAGTTAGTTGTTGAGAAGGTCAGACCTGTTCCTCAATACCTTTGAGCCTGGTCTGCATCTCTTGTCAGCATCTTTCAGGACTCATTTAGTTTGTGCCATTGCAGATTCAATTTCACATATGAAACTGATGGGAAGCATTGTCCTGAGTGTAACTTCTTCAGGTATTTTATGTCAGCAAATCAACATCTCTAAGGACTCTCACTGTTCTAGAAACATACTCATGAGATAATAGGCAATTATCAATAATAATTCCCCATCTGCCTAGTTATTCTTCAAATTGGTTCCTGTCATTTCTAAACCTGCACATGTTACTAAAGATTTTGAGTGTGTGGCTCACTTTAGAACTGTCTTAAAATGAATATTCTAATCCAGTAGATGTGGATAGCTGTGAGTCTCTAGCTAACACAATGGAAAGACCACACAAAGTACCAAATATCATGAATATTATTAATAGCTTATCCAAGAATAAGAATGCCCCTGCTTTGCTCCTATCTTAAAGAGTACCAGGAGAATAATAAAGTGATATAAATGAAGGGGGTTGGGGGCACCACTGGTATTATAGGAGCAGGTGTGGGTAGTTAGAAACCAGAGGAATCCAAATTCTCAAACTATTAAAGTGGTCGGTAGGACTAATTTAAGTATATTCCATGATGACAAATTATTTTGGTTTTCATAATTTTCCCTTATTTTTCTTCTGTAACCAATAAAAATAGTATATGCATAAATTAATGGAGATTCTGTAAAGTATAGTTAATACTTTATGCCATTCAGTACTACACACAATGTTAATGTTCTAAAGAAACTCAATAAATAACCAGTGCTAATTTGCATAGAAAATAATTGTAGGAAACAGACATGCATAGCCTTTTCATTCAGGTAACAATTGTCCTAATGTGTATATTTAGTGAATCACAAACTTATGTGAGATATTGAAAATTTTGTGAATTTCAAATGCAGTTCTCAAAATATTACACAAATAGTAGTTGAAATAATTGACAATTAGTGATAGTTTCTTGGATTATAATGACTATTTTCAAGAACTTGTATATCCTAATTTTAAGAAGTTTTGGACTGTTGGTTTACATTTTATTCATATTAACACAATTAATTCATATACATACATACATGAGTATATAGTTTTCATCCATGCAAAATGATTAACAGAACAATTGCCTTAAGCTCAGATACACAGAGATCATGAATGCTTAGAAATATGATGAAACATTGAGGTTTAATTATATGCTGTGATAAATTTGACACATGACATATTTTTGAGCACTCAGTGGACAATCTCTAGAGTTGTGGACAACTTGCTAATCTCTCTGCCCTTCATCTAAGGACCATGACCAACCTCAATGTGGAGGATCAAAAGCCTGTGAATAAAAATAATAGACAATTGAGAGAATAATGAAGCATTTCACCGGCCCCACCAATAATAAATAAATACATAAATAAATAAAAAGTAAATGAGACAAAGCATCTATCCTGGCTAGTCAGGTTATTGTGTCTAACAATATCATGGTTTTCATTTTGATGCATTTACTATGCTTTATTTTACATATATTACTAAGTATGAATGTTTATTATTGAATAGGTACCATTACTGAATATGTACCATTTTAAAGGTCATGATAGTTGGAATTTTGTTCTACTGTGGGTATTGATAATTGTCAGTAGTGCAGGAGGTTGTTTTGGTAACCAATACCCCACAGATTATCATCATTACATTATTTAAAATTTAATCGTTTACTTTCCACAAGCTTGAAAATCAGAATAAACTAAAAAGATTTTTCTTATATCTATAAATCATCTTATTTTACATATCAATTCCAGTTCCTGTTCTCTCCCATCCTCCCATACCTCCCAGCGGTCCCCCATCCACTCCCCAGGTAGGGTGTGGCCTTCCATGAGGGATCATGAAAGTCTGTCAAATTATTTGGGGTAGGGCCTAGACCCTTCCCCGTGTATCTAGGCTAAAAGAGTAACCCTCCATAGGAAATGGGCTTCCTAAGTCTGTCCATTCGTGATCTAGGGTTAGATCCTGTTTCACTGCCAGAGGCACCATAGACTGCCCAGTCCTCCTTGCTGACACCCATGTTCATGGGGTCTGGTTTGGTCCTCTTTTGGTTCCCCAGCTGTCAGATTAGAGTCAACATGTTCTCACTTGCTCAGGTCAGCTGTGGATTTTTCCAGCTTGGTCTTGACCCGGTTGTTTGTCAATCCTCCATCTCCGAACCTGGCTTCCAGAAGTTTGGCTCAGTGCTTAGCTGTAGGTTTCTGCTTCTGTTTTTATCAGCTACTAAATGAAGGCTCTAGGATAACATTTATGGTAGTTATCATTTTCATTATAGGAAAAGGACATTTAAGGTAGTATCTCTACTATTGCTTAGATTATTTGTGGGGCCATCCTTGTGAGTCTCTGTACAATTCCCTAGTGCCAGATTTCTCTTTAAACCTATAATGGCTCCCTCTATTGATGTGTCTCTTTTCTTGTTGTCCTCTATTCATCTCCACACTCAATCTTCCTGATCCCTCATGTTATCCTTCCCCTCTTTTTTTCCTCTCCTCTTTATCCTCCTTCTCTTTTCCCTTCCTCCCATATTCCCAATTTGTTCAGGGGCTCTTCACCCTTTTCCCTTTACCAGGGGATTGTGTATGTCCATCTTTCAGGCCTCTTGCTTCCTATCTTCTCTGGAGGTGTGGATTGTAATCTGGTAAACATTTGTTCTATGTCCAATATCCATAAATGAATGAGTACATACTATGTTTGTCTTTTTGTGAATGGGTTACCTCACTCAGGATGGTTTCTTCTAGTTCTATCCACTTTCCTTTTTTTTTTTTTTTTTTCTTTTTTTCCTTTCAATAAGTAGTACTCCATTGTGTAAATGTACCTAATATGTACTTCATTTTCTGTATCCATTCTTAGGTTGAGGGGCATGTAAGTTGCTTCTGGGTTCAAGTTATTACAAATAATGCTGCTATGAACATAGTTGAACTGATGTCCTTGTTGTATGAATGTGTATCCTTTGGGCATATTCCTAAGAGTGAAATTGGTGGATCGTGAGGTAAACTAATCCCCATTTCCCATAGAAACCACCATACTGATTTCCAAAGTGGTTGTACAAGTTTGTACTCCCATCAGCAATGGAGGAGAGTTTCCCTTTCTCCACATCCTCTCCAACATAAACTATAGTTGGTGTTTCCATTTTAGTCATGCTGATGGTTATAAGTTGGTATCACAGAGTTGTTTTGATTTGCATTTCCCTGATGGCTAAGGATGCTGAGTGATTTCTTAAGTGTCTTTCAGCCATTTTAGAGTCCTCTTTTGATAATTCTCTATTTAGAACTGTACCTCACTTTTTCATTGAATTATTTGGTGTTTTGGTGACTAGGTTCTTGAGTTCTTTGTATATTTTGGAAATCAACCCTTTGTCAGATGTGGGATTGGTAAAGATCTTTTCCCATTCTGTGAGGTGCCATTTTGTCTTATTGATTGTCTTTTGCTTTACAGAACTATCTCAGTTTCAGGAGGTCCTATTAATTAATTGTCAATCTCAGTGTCTATGCTATTGGAATTATATTTAGGAAGTGATCTCCTGTACCAATTTGTTCAAGAGTGCCTCCCACTTTCTCTCCTATGAGGTTCAGTGTGTGGCTGTAGTTGCGTTGAGGTCTTTGATCCATTTAGGAATGAGTTTTGTGCATGGTGATAGATATGGATCTATCTGCAGTCTTTTACAAGTCAACATCCAGTTATACCAGCACCATTTGTTGAAGATGTTTTCTTTTTCTAATGTATAGTTTCATATTCTCTGCCAAAAATTAGGTATTCATAGGTATGTGGGTTAATATCAGGGTCTTCAATTTGGTTTCATTGGTCTACCTCTCTGTTTTTTGTGCCAATGACAAGTGGTTTTCATTACTATAGCCCTATAGTAGTTCTTTACGTCAGGGATGGTGAGGCCTCCAAAAGTTTCTTTATTGTACAGGGTTGTTTTGGCTATTTCTTTATGAACTCAGAAATCAATTACTTACACTTCTTTCATTTGGACTGGTTTGCAAGAGAAATATTGTTCAAGACTAAAACTTTTAAATCTTTATGTAAAATAGGTCAGAGTGCCACAACTATTTAAAGTATTCTTAAAACATATACACAAACAAACTTTAAATAATTTGATTAACAAAAATGTACTGAACTAAATTTAGTTTAAAAACAGTTGTAGCTCCTTGGAATGATATAAAACTATTGATAGATGTGGATAGTATGAGTACCAGAAGCTTCCCTTAAATATTTCATGGGTGAATAAGGAAATTAAGGATGCACTAAATCTTAAGTATTATTCTATTCTAGGACCTAGACACTAAAAAGCCATATGAAAAGAAATTTCTGCTTAGATGTATGGGTCACAGTGAGTTTGCCTAAACCACGGACATACAAACTCAAATTATCAATGGATAACCCATGAGGATATTGCATCAGGAAGAAGTTCAACACATGGAAGTGTCTGCAATATATTTTAAAATGTAAATCCAGTGTCTGAAGAAATACACGAAAGAAGGCACATAAGATCCATTGAAGAATAGGCCTGAAAGTGAACGTTTTCAGGGTCGAGATTTCCAAACTAGAAATTACAAACGTCATAATTCTGAGTGTCATGTTCTTTCACATATTTGGAGAAGATCAGCATAACATTTAAAATCATATCCTTTCATTGAAAATAAAACAGAAATATTTCTTAATCAACTATATAATCAATGAGATATAAAGAAGATGGGGTTATTCTAAGGTAAATAGGTTGATGGCATCCTCTCTATTTCTTTTACTTTAGCCTCCATGATGCATATGTGACAACTTTTACATAGGAAATAGTAATAGACAATTATAGAAATGTGTGATAATAAAAATATGTGAATTAATGATTAAAATGTTGACAAATTAGTTCAAATCAGTAAGAGTGATTGAAATCATGCATCAGTTGATGATTCTATAACAATAAATAAATCCTGTATTCATTTAGTTTAATTTACAGGAATGATTTTCTATCTAGTATTTTCTTCAGGGCAACACTGACATCTTTATTCCTTAGGCTATAGATCAAGGGGTTCAGCATGGGCACAACAATGGTATAAAACACAGAGGACACTTTCCCTTGGTCCATGGAGCTGACTGATGATGGCTGTAAGTACATGAATGCAGCAGACCCAAAGAACACAGTGACTGCACAGATGTGGGAGCTACAGGTACTGAAGGCTTTGGACCTACCATCAGTAGAACGAATACGGAGGATGGTGGCAATGATGAAGATGTAAGAAGTAAAAATTGTCATAGTTGGGACAACGATGTTAAACGTACCAAAACATAGAATCAACAACTCATTAACAGAAGTATTGGAGTAAGCAAGCTTCAGGAGAGGAAGTAGATCACAGAAATAGTGATTGATCACATCTAAATTACAGAACTGAACTTTGATCATGAAGCCTGTGTGAGCTGATGCACAAATCACACCAATAATATACACCACTGAAATCAGGGAACTGTAAATAGGATAGGACATGATTACATTGTAAAGTAAGGGGTTACAGATAGCAACATAGCGATCATATGCCATTGCAGCCAACATGTGACATTCTGCAATGGCAAAAATAAGGAAGAAATAGAGCTGTGTCATGCATCCAGTGTAGGAGATGAAGTTCTTCTCAATCACAAAGTTCACCAGCATTTTGGGGGCAATGACTGTAGAATGGCAGAGATCTATGAAGGATAAACTGGCAAGGAAATAGTACATGGGGGTGTGCAGGTAGGAACTGAGCCCAATCAGTGTGATCATGCCCAGATTCCCAACCACAGTGACAACATAGATCCCAAGGAAGAGGAGGAACAGGGGCATCTGTAGTTCTGGCTTTTTTGAGAGCCCAGTCAGGATGAATTCAGCCACTGTGCAATGGTTTCCTGGTGCCATATCCTCTGTCCAAGTTCTGAAGAAAACAAAATACATGTCTGTTACTCTGACTTTTGTTTCAAATTTACAGGTTTCTACGTGCATATGACTTTTATCTATGTTTGATTTGATTACCTTTTCAATGATTAAACCTAGAGAAATATATAAAAGTAAATTGCAACCTTTAATTGACATTGTTAATAATAACAAATAATGAGCATTTGAGTATTTCAGTGGCTTCACAGCAATATCTTTTCTTGAAGTATACATTTCCTCTCTGAGGTCTACATCTCATAATAGCCTAAGGTGCTATTGAATCTGAAAAGGGAGAAAAAATAATCAGTAGTCTCCTCCAACTATAGATGCATGATCCACAACAATTGAAAGTGTGGCAAGATGTACTCAAGAATGCAATAGTGACACTAATTTCATGGTGGTAACTAACAGCTATTTAATTGAACTTAAGAACTACTCAGTAATAGACCTGGTAGTGTAAACTTTACCCACTACTCATGTTTCAGGTAGTCATAGAGCCTAGAGGATAACAGACAGCTGCCACTTTCCTAAACAAATATATTTCTAAATGCATTTGATATACATATTCTTGCAACTGCAGACATGATTAACTCTATTTTCACATCAAATAAGCTTCTTTTTGTAGAGGATGGAAGATTGAGATCATTACAGGAAGCTACAACTGGTCAAAATGCAGATAACTGTGAGGTTTCAATCTCCAATTGATGCTTCTGAACATAACATCTACCCATATGACTCAGGGAACATAACTAGATAGGAGTGGATATATTATAAGAAAGATGACCAGGAAGTCTGCTGTGAGATAGTACATTATTTAATGATACGGAACCTACACTCATAAAATTTCAATTATTATTATTATTATTATTATTATTATTATTATTATTATTATTATTTAATGATAGTGGCACAATGACAATACCAGCTGACATGGCAACCAGATGGGGGAAAACCTATTTGGCTTTTATCCCTAGATAAAGAGTTACATGCAGTTGATGGCTCACAAGAGACGAAGAAACAGCTTTGTGGAGGGTTGAATCCTTTGAAAGTAAACCCGTGTTTGGCCCTAAATTCATATACGTAACACTAATGGTCTCAGTGTGATATGTATATATGTGTATATATGCATGTATGTATATGTGTGTGCATGCTTGTGTGTGTATGTGTGTGTGATAAATTTGAACGAGAAATTTGCAAGGCAGGTGAAGTAGATGGAAATTATATAAATACAGAACACATATATAAAATTATCAAAAATATTTTACATTAAATTTAAAAAAATAAAACTATGTTGGAACTTAAAAATCTAAACAGTTAGAGTCAATGTCAAGAAGTAAAAGTAACTGCCAATCTGAAAAAAAAAAATCTTCTCCTGAAAGCAATGGCTTAAGTATCCCAAACTCTCACAGAAATGAGCAGAGCTCTTCTTTTCAGACATTTTATTTTCATATATGTGTATATATGTGTATGTATGTATACACACATATATACACATATATGAGAACTTATATTCCCATAAGTTATCAGATATTTTTATTAATTAAACTTGCTGTTTTTCATTTTCATGCATGTAAAGCTACGCTCTAGTTAGTCTTACCTTTTGATCCTCTCAACTATTGCCTATCATCTTACAATTCATTTTCTTACTTGCTTGCTGCTAATAGTCTATTAGAGAACGCTAAAGAAGCTGTCACTTGTGAGTTATCATTGCATGAAAAGCAGAAGATTCTGAGGCAACACAGACTCTTGAGTGTTATGTCCTGTTACCTTAAATCCTAGGCACCATAATCACTGTGTGGACCAAAGCAAATTCCTAAATGAGTAGAAGATAAATTATGAAAATTGTAAAATATTTTCAATCTAAAATTTGTGTTACTAATACAACAAAATAAATCTAAAGAAAACTTGTACACAAAGCTAAAAAGTTGATGATAAAATATCAGAAAGAAAATATTAAGGAAATTATTTCATGTCTAAAAAGTTCTAATAAAGAAAATGTATGAACAATTTGGTCAATAAAAATAAAGCTAAGAAAAACTTGTAACTGTAAAAGTGATTAGTTTGAACTTTGTTAAAATTGAACTTTTTAAAAAGAAAATGAAATTTCTACCCCATGGCAAAAAATCAAAATAGCTAAAATATTTTAACAAGTAATGATATGACAAATTTTAAATCAAATGCTTTGATAAGACAGCTTACAAAAAGGTTATATAAATAGTCACTAGAAAATATTAATTACTCGGTGTCACTAATCATCAATGAAATTAAAAGAATACACTCTCTATACACTTCTATTGCAAACAGTTAAAGTAGTTGTAGCAATACCTCCTTTTGGCAAGGATTTTCCATATATTACACAGATCTGTATGCAATGTGAAACTGCTCTTCTAAATAGAAAATAGCCTCATAATTTACTCTAAATTTAAAAAGATTTCATACTGCATCTGACCAGTCTGTCCCACAAATTTTATAGAGGAAAATGTCAGCAATTTTCTGTGGAGAGATGTGTACAAATATGTGTGCAGTAGCTTCATTCATGTCAACCACTTTTATGTCACTCTCAATCCACATGTGCAACAAAATTGGGTTATGGTTTATGTACATTTTTAAATCTTTATTATATTTTGATTTGTGTGTGTGTGTGTGTGTGTGTGTGCGTGTGTGTGTGCGCGCGCGCGCGCGTGTGTGGTGTTCATATAATAGTGCTCCTGTTGAGATCAGAAAATACCTACAGGGAGTTGCTTCTTTCCTTTCACCTTACGAATCCAGTGGCTTAAATTAAGGTTCTCAGCTTCGGTAACCAGATGACCAGTTTTTCAATCCCTAAGATGCACCCGTAAATATAAATTTTAAATAAATAAATAATGAAAATAATTATAAAGAGCATACAAGTAGTCACAATAATGCTGTATAAATACACAGAGCTTTCAAAAGTAGAGTAAATTCTGAAAGGCATACAATTTCAGATAGCTTCCCACCAAATTAAAAAAATATAATGTTGAGCATATTTTATATTTTATTTCTTGAAATTATTTTTATTATATTTATTAATATTCATAGATTAATTGTAGAACTTTGAGAATTATCTTTTGTGTAAAATGAAATTTGGTTCTCAATAACCCATAAGAACAATCAAAAATATTGCAGCTTCTATCTGTTACCAAGTCTCAAAGTTGTTTCAAATCTGATTTTTGATAAAAGCTATTTATGTGATGCTGTAATTTAAGTGTAATGCTTTAGAAGACAAGATGACAGAACATTGATATTAAAGCTGTCTATTGGCCTCTTTGGACTGTCCTTCATTACCATAATGATGATTACTGTAGTTGAGAACACAGGTTAAAAATGTTTTATGGAGTTAACTATGAAATGTTCACTTTTGAAATAAAACCAAGCTGTGTTTGATTCCCTGTGATACAATGTTCTCCTTCTAGCTGCTAGGCATAAAAGATTATAAAACCAAAAATTCTTAATGGTCAGTTTGTCTCTTCTTTAATGCAGTGTATTATTTGTAAGTACCAGAGTCTAGTCTATGCCATTCTACTGTCATCTAGTAAATATTTTGTTGTTTTAAAATTCCTTAAAAGCCACCATGCAAACATTCTCCAAGTCATTGTAATTGACTGAACCTTCAGGAAGGGATTATTGCTGGTGTATTCTATAAAAGTTAAGAAAAGCTTTGTGAATAATTGAATAACTAAAAGTATTGCGAACTATTTTCCTGACTTTAAGTAATTATTCTAGGCTCTTTCATCACAGTTGAGGATGAACATTCACTCTTCTTTCTGACAGTCTTAGCACCAAATTTTTCTCTTTACTTGAATAATCACATATGATGATATTGGGCGTCACATGCACTCAGCATACTCCCATCTTCAGTGATTAAGACCAAGATCTAGGCTTGAGTCTCAGCTTTTTGAAGCTTGTTTAGTCACAGGCACAGGTCAATATTCCTAAAGGCTTCTTCAGATCTAAGCATACACTCACCTTTCATACTCACTTGAGTGGTCTCTATTATGTTGTTCCGATGGTTTGCTCTGAGTTTATAATCTCAGCTACCAAATAGCAAAAGGCCATTCCCTAAGGATCTCCAGTGCTGAAGGAACAAACTGTTGTAAAAAGAAGTAACTGTCTTTACCAACTCCCAGTAGGCTAATTTTTTCTTATTTAAAAATAATTATTTTTATTATTTTAAGTTATAATATATTTTGTTAATTTATATTTGCCTTTTCCTCACTGCAACCTCTCCTGAGCAGCCACTTGCTGTCTCTCAAATTCAATGCCTCTTTTTTTCACAGAATTTATTTTTACTGTGTAAAAACTATATTTATAAATACATACAATATGATGAAATCCATCCCCATTTCCTCCTCCTATTAGCCCCAATTTAACCTAAAAACAGTTATGCATTCTTTCTCATTTTAGTTTTTAATCTTAAAAATATTTTAAAATTTTCATGTATTTCCTTTAAAATATGATCACATCACTCTGCTTTATATCTCCTCCTTCTGTTAATTCCTGTTGTCCTTACTGATGGGAGATGTCACTTGTAAATATGTTTCTCTTATTGGTTAATGAATAAGCACTGTTGGCCAATAGGAAAGCAAAATAGGCTGGACTAGGAGACAAGGAGGAGAGAGGAAGTAGTAGGGAGGAGCTCCAAGATGGAAGATGGAGAGAACAGAACACCAGCCCCTCTCTCCAGTAAGATGAGACCATGTGGAAATACGTACATTAATAGAAATGGGTTAATATTTAAGACAGAGCTAGCCAATAAGAAACCAGTAACTGGCCAACAGAATTATATCTCATACAGTGTCTTTGTGTGTTATTTGGGGCTGACAAGGTGGCACAGGGACCAGACTGGCAGGAAAGCCTACTCATAACACCTACCACATTTGCTTCCCAAATTTTACATTCTTTTTTCTTTTATTTTTTTAATTTAAGAATATTTTAATTTTAGTACTTTTTATTAAAATATAATT